TGTCTCGAAAACCCCGAGAGAAATTGGCACGTAGTGTCGCGGAGCCCTGTAGTCGCGGCCAATGACACAAGGGTTTGCAAACTCTCTCCTTGAAAATAGGCTTGCACCCGTCACTACCTCCAATTATCCCCTCTACTGTACCGAACATACAATTCGAATAGGTAGTATGACAAATATAATAAAAATAGGTGCTTGTGTACAACGTGACGTAATGGAAACGCGTAGAAAGATGACTATTCCGTGGACACTACTTCATACTATGAATCACACTTCAGGTTCGTCGGGGACAGTCACTTTGGTTGGAAGAAATAATCCAATACCGCACAGTACGAAACCAATTTTGTAGATTGATTGTTAGCATAAAGGATGTTGAAAATGTATGGAAAATATGGAAAGCAATGTTCTTTAGTGGTTGTGTATAGAATGAAAGCGGTGACGATAACGTTCAAACGTTGAGTACATAGGAGAAATGGTCACCGAACGTTGAATACATACGACAAATGATTACTTTCGTTAGAAGAAATAGTCCAATATCACGCAGTACGCGAAAAATCCTGTAGATAGATTGTTAGCATCGTGCGTAGGATGTCGTAAATGAATGGCAAATAAAAAGTGCAATATTTTCGAGTGGCTGCATACAAAATGAAAACGGTGACGACAACGCCCGAACGTTGAGTACACGCGAGAAACGCGTTAAACGAAAATTAGCGCAAAATTGTGTACATACGTGAAGTTTCTACAAAAAAAACACTGTATGGAATCTACTTTTCGATTATGTCACTCACGTGCATACGCGCTCACACGACCCATCATCATTTTTCCTATCGTTTCGCCCCGTGTGCAGTCGGCGAAGTGATGCGCTGACGCATAATGACACCGCGGTGGGGGGGGGGGGGATATTTGCATACCGGTGATCTTGGAACAGGTGATCAATGCGGAGAATAGAATAATTGTATGTCAAGCGTTAAGTCCCAGTAGCGTTCGCAAGAATCTGCAAGCGTCGGTGCCACTCGTGATCCCGTCGTGGTGTATCGTCATTAACAGAGCAAGCACTTCAACGCTTTTCTCCCACCCCAGTACAACGCCACGTAACCCATGATCCTCCTCCTCCACCCATCGGCGCACGTCTTTCTCCCTTCGACTTATCTGCTTTCACGCCTCCATTATCTGTTCATCTCGTCCCCGTTCACGAACTTTTATTTGTTGGCTGTTTGTGGGCGGTTGGCTCGTGCTGATTCCGGGCGCTATTGTCTGAGGCACCTACCCCGAGAGCCCTTTCGGCCAGGTATAGAACGTAAGGGGCGAGGAGAGGAGAGAGGCGACAGGTCCGTCGAGAAGAGGCCGTACAATGGCTCGTCGACCAGGATAGCTGTGTCTACAGGGGTGGTCACGCGAAATCGCCAGGTAATAAAGTAGACTTTTGTCGGGACGAGGAAGTTAGACCTCTTCGGTCCCCCCCTCTCTCTCTCTCTCTCTCTCTGTCTCACACGGAAGGTGAGAAAATTTCAGGACACTGGTAAATAACAAAGATCTGCTCCGTTGTCCTGAGTGGAGAAATTTGGGTGGGCCCCGATCGCTTCCTCTTGTTTACCGGTGAATCGAAACAGGGTCAAACATTTTTCAGGATGAACGACAGGTAACTCTTTGCGACAGTCCACGAGGACTGGGATCGCGCTTTAAAACGAGGGGGCCAGAGGAAAGATTAAATCAGCGTTGAATTTATGATGGGGAAATGAAAATTGACTGAGGTACTCTTTTAACGGGAAATTGCACGAGACAAAGAACAAAGCACGGCTGGTGTTTCAGAATAAGAAAAGGAAGATCGTTCCGCGCGGAACTTCTAAAAACGGACAAGCAAAAGAGGGAACGTCGTCGGCGAATTAAATTCTCCGTGGACTTGTTCGAGAAGAATATTCCCGTTCGACAAACGGTAACGTCTTGTTTCCTCGTTGATGTCGCGTGCGATATTTAGAATATCTAATGGATTCGCATTATGCTCGAAGGGTCTCGCGCCGAAAATGCTCGGAACATTATCAACGAAATACTCGAGTTCGTTCGTGACACAGAGTTCAAATCCCTTTCAAGCGGGTAATCTCGTAATCGCATGTGTGTCCTGTTACGGTTAATAATCGCGCCATACGGTTGCGTTTACGATATATTATAAATTACACAATGCTCGGTGGATCCGAATTTGATAGATATTTCACAATACTCCAGCTTATTCGGATATCCCTGTTCCTGAACGCAGGACTACGCCAGCGGAACGGAAGATTTCAGAGCGAAAGGAAAAAGAATACGTTCGCAGACGAAATTCACCGGAAACACTCGGTTCTATAAATCAGAATCATCGAGAGACTGGAAGGGGTCCAATAGGCATACATTAGATATTTGCAGAATTCACGAGTTCTTTCGAGACCCAGCTGTCGAGCGAAGGAAGCTCTCGAAAGCTACCCCTATTTTCCCCGTTTTGTATGTGGCGAAGCTCGTAAGTTTCGGCCGAGTTTCTGCTGCGTCGAACACCAATGGCCGAAACATTCGTACAATACGATTCAAAAGGCGTCGAACTAACTTTCTTCGGGAAGCGAGAACGCGTCGAGCGAGTACGATCTCCCCGTTCATGTGAAATCCGTCGCGCTCCGGCAACTTCTTGGCGCTAACGGGCGACATTAATTAGAACGCGGGGTAACGGCGTGCCCGCTCTTCAAGAATGAAATTTCACGTTATGTACAGAAAGAAAAGAATTTGAGTTACAGGTCACGGAAAAATCGAAATTGATTAACCCTCGGAGTACGGACAGTTGAAGACGACGGCTGGGTCAATCGTGACCCATTACAACATTTAAAAATATTCACTTTGTTTCCATGTAGAAATTTCGATGACTGGAGTTATTGACAGGTCACCAGTGACTCAGTAATAGGATTAGAAGGGTTAATATGCAGTCTCGAGGATGGTCGGTAACGGTCTCGAATCGACAATAATTCGCCCACACGGTTTACCAGGGACTATAATCAAGGTTTGGACCTTTTTAACTATGTAATATAAACCTTGGACATCAAGGAACAAGGACTCGCAAAGAAAAGTTTGGTTTAGTTGTTTATGACCTGATTTTTTAACGACTTGTGCATGCATTTTTTGAGGCACCTACTCTTTCATTTGAAGTATTTAATATTTGAATCTAAAAAAACAGTTTTCATTTATACCATGCTATTATAAATACATTTCGCTACTAAATATGGTTCAATAATTTAGAATTCGACGATTACTTCTGGAAATTTTACTCTATAAACAAATTTTTACGTTTTATTGATATAATCAAAAATCCAAGGAGTTCCAAAAGACCATTTTTGCCTCGTTACTCCTAAAAGTCTCTACTTTAAAAAACTATAAAATCATTCTTGCGACCACCTGCAAGTAAATGTAGAAGGGGCGTAACCCGTTGAACTTAGGTTTCACACTATTTTTACAGTTTCGTTATTGTAAAAATTATACATAGATTCAAACATTTGTGTTTTATGTACCAGTCCTTTGATTTCAGAAATGTTACCCTCTAGATACACCATTAGAGGCGCCTTGTCTACACAATATCTTTTGCAGGCTACGTATCACATGTTTAACACCATGGAAAACCTACTTAATAAGAAAAATGAAAGAATGAAATAACATTTTTTAATATGTCATTTAAATAAATGATTTTTTCAAAAAATGATTCACATGGTTGAATTCTTCATTCAAAGACACGTTTTAAAAAAAATATTCGATGAAAATATGATTAGTCGTTTAGAAGAAAATTGAATGTCCAGAAATTTACCAGTTTCATCCCACTGTGCGACGGTGCTCGCGACGCGACCACCTTCGTACACGGATTTAACTGGCATTTTTGCCTTATTACTTTCGTGTGACGATTCGCCCGGTGTGGCTTGTTCCATGCCGCGCGACCTAAATATTGCACGAGCCTCGGAAAATTGATCATTCATTCCCGGTGCCTACACAGATCCGGCAGCTTTCAAATTCTGATACTCTGTAACCCGAATTTCCGACCCGAAATATCCCATCGAGAAAAATATTCCGTCGCGAATGCATTCTGACAAATTCACAATGTTCTATAAAAAAATGACAGAATTTTTGCAAATATATCAAACATCAGACATAGCATCAAGATTAATTAAATTACCCCCGACAATGCTACGGAAATGAAAACGTAGAAAAGTCATATCCATTAGGAGGCTCGACCTTCGAAATGGCACTTTAAACTTCATCAACGTTAAAGACTGAGAGAATGCGTCGACGTCGAACAATCTCAGGTGGCCCGTTTGGAAAGGTTAAATTCTGCGCTGTAAAACTTCCGTACGGATTTCTTAAGGGCCCTCCTCGCTCCCCCGAAAAGTCTCGAAATCGACATCGCCGCGGGTCGCGTGCACCGACTGACCTCGTTCCCTTCTCGGTTGAGGAGAGTCACGTGGCCAGTCGTCCGTTAATTTCGCCCTGTTCTCGAAACCCGTAGAGGATCTTACAAGAACCAGGACGAAGGACAACAGGGGCATTTCGCTCGCCCATGAAACAAGACGGATACAAGAAACGTCCGATTCGACAAAGAGGGAACAAGAACCGGGGGGTTCGAGGGTTGCGTCATTCCGCCATTGGCAGATTAAAGCGACGTCGGTGGTCTTTGATCTCTCGCAAGACGCAAGAAAGAGGTAAGACGAGCGTAAAACGCGAGCGTTCGCCTTCTGCATTGGGTGAAAAAGGGGTGTGAAACTCTCCGGAGAATACAGACTCGCTTTTACCGTCAACTTTGCAAGTCACGACAATCAAATGGTGGAACGCAGCGAATGAACAGCAAAAAGGGGGCGGGGGGGTGCAGAGTCGAAGAAACGAAAGAAGACGGTATTGCAAAGACGAAGAATGGAGCACGCGCTCCAATCCTAGAAACACTTCAATCAGACACCCCCAGAGTCTTTACACCGTCGCGAAGAATAAATTTTTCTTCCTTTAATACTCACGAAAACGAAGTAAGACTTCTTCATGGTCCACGTTGTCCGCGTTGTCGACCGTCAAAGCTGTCCTCTCCTTGTAATTCCTTCCTGTGCACGATTCCAATTCCGCGCTGCGTCGCCGACACGCTCGCCCCTACTCTGTCCCTCTTCCGCGAGCTTTCGTCAAAGATCTTCGATATGCCACCGCGTACACACTACTACGCCCTCGAGGGAAGGGCGCATCGAGGAAACGGTCCCAACTTTTCGCCAAGACGTATCCACGTCGCGTAACGTCTCACACTTTACATAAAATACATAGGTACACACTTTTTCCTCTCACCCTCCACACATCGCCACTTCGAACCCGTACTATCTCAAACTCGCCACGTGACGATAAATAAAACGTGTGTGTATGTCAGGTTCGAGAACCAAACTACCAGAAAAATTCAAAGTAAAACCGATTAATAAACACGAACCACCGGAGGGGTGGGGGGAGGGGCAAACACGGTGGTGTAACGCGTCGACGATCGAATCGTTGGCCTCTGATGGCACGGTTCCACGATACACGCTGTCGATCCACGCGATATCCACGACGGGGGATGATCGGAGAACACGATTCGGTACCAGAACGCACGTGTACGTCTCTCTCTGTTACTCGGCGATGTCGTCGGGCCGAAGTGCGCCGCACGAGTGTCGGCCTTAACGTCTCGAAAGCGCTTGACGTTGGCGCCCGTGCGGCCAAGGTGGGGGCTGGAGGGGTTCGCGGAGAAACACAGTCTGCCCTTCTCTCTCTCCACCTCTCTGCGTCTAACCAACACCGCAGTTCCCCAACCCTCCTGTATCCGCCCCCACCAACAACACGCTCGCCTACTCACTCTCTCTTGCACTCACCCCCTTGGTGTACCGCCAACCCCGCGTCCACCCACTTCGCGTTGCTGCCGAGGTTGGAATAAAGTGCTGCTGTAGGGGGTGGTTTGGCTGCACGACCAAGAGGGTGGGGTAAGAGCGAAGAGGAGAGAAGGACGGTCTAATAGAGACGCCGGAGCATCGAACGGAAACGGGACGATTCGAGAGCTACCCCTTCGAGCTTGTGGCGATCGCAAATCCTGCGACTCGTATATCAAAATTCGTTTTACATATGTCATCGTCGATGACTTTTTTTCATCAAGATTCTTAAACACGATGGTCCAAGGAACTCGCTGAACAACGCGATAATCTTTGCAGGATTGTCGGGCGGAGGCTAGGAGAGGGGGTTGCGTTACACGGACGGAATGCAGGTTGCGATAAGGTTTGTGTATGACGCTCTCGGGGGTTGTTTTTCCAGGACTAGGGACGGAAATTTAATTCCGTGAAACTTTTCAGTGTCCGTTGCGTTGGTTAAGTCGTATTTTATGCCGTGGAACATCCCTGGTAATTATTATTTCTTGTGCAAAACGCGCGCGCAAAAAGATTCGAGGAAGTTTTGCAATGAGATAAGTCCGAGACTGGGGGAACGTTACTGGGTTTCTTACTTGTCCCTATCAGAAATTGGCGTTTCGTGTCATTCTTGTAATATCTCTGGTATAATTTCTTCCTCGGTTCGAACTAATTTAATAACATTCTCGCTGTCCCCCAGCGTCCTGGTAACTGAGGACGAAACAACTCGTTCAGGAGCGGTGTTCGATACGTATTGACATTGCAGACAGGTGGATGAGACAAAAGCGGCTGTAAATATTGTAGAGGAGTGTCCGAGCGGAGCGGGACCGGTCCACGAACGGAATTTTATAGCTCGACGAATTTCCTGATTTACCAACGAAATATCTTTTGTGAAAACGGCCGTGGAAGATGGATTCCGGTGACGGAGATTGAAGCGGCCCCCCAACCCCCTTCAGATGGAGATTTATCGACGTTGAAAATCCAACGGATAGCATCGGTATACGGGACTATTATTTGAAAGGTTGTCAATGCGTCAAAAAAAAAAAATCGGTCAGCAGAGAAATGATTACTGTCGTGTGCCCGCGGTTCGTTCGTTGTTTGATGAACGATAATCGAAACGTTGACCCGGTTCACGAGTGCAACAATGTCCCCCGCCGTTTGTATACACAGTGAACGTGTGCGCGCACGAGCGCTGAATCGGTACCACTTCGTCTATTTGTTTCGGAGTGCGCGCGCGGTGCGCACAAGAGAAATGACGCGTGCGACCTGGAGCCACCTGCGGAACCTAGTAGATTGTTAAACTTCCCTTCCTTTTTTTTTGTTAGAAAATATATATTCCGCCGATAAAAAATTTCAATTGGAGATACGCGGTCACCTTCGCCTCGCCGACAGGAACGGCCGAGTTTTTTCGGATCACCGTGTTTTTTGTACCCTCGGTTAACGTTCAAAAATTTTTCGCGGTTCATCGAATTTTCTTTTTTACAATTGCACACGATAGGTTTCCCGATATTTGACGATCGGACTCGTTATACAAATTGATATTAACAAAGCGCAACAGTTGGAGTGCCCATTTCTGTTTCGGCGATATCACCTGATACAGTTCATACAAATCGAAGGTTTGTTTTTATATTTTCCTTAGGAAGCGCAGTTTGTTTGCTTATCGAGAATAAACTTGTTGGATATGTTTTTGAATTTCGATACGGTAACGCTGGTATGCTTGTGTTGGTCTGGCCATCGGTGTAGCGCAAACACCAATTCCAAAGAAGTATTTCGCAAAGTTATACACTACCGTTCGTAAGTACTACAACACCTGGTTTTAACGAAGAAAATGTGACGTTTCGTAAAAATTATATATTTTATATAGGGGTCATTCCGTGCGACATCGGACACTGTTTGGAGCAACATTTAGGATTTTGTTGTAACTTGGATATATTATAGCTTTTAGGGGTATACAAAAAGTACTTCGAAAGATTTAAAGACCCCTTTAAAAGGTCTTCTCTTCCCTTTTTCGAGAAACTGTCCGAGTCATTGGATGATTTCGGACATAGACAAACTATCAAAAGCAAGGAAAATACATTGCACTCGATAGTGTATTCGCTTCTGTTCACTAGAACACATATCGTGCATGAAGTAAATATTACAAGGCATCACGAAATTGCTGATAGTCTGAAATAAATCTCGACAAAATCCCGATCGTCGTGCATATTTCTATCGTTCTATAGTCTTAAAGTATCACATTTTTACAAAAAAAAAAAGAAAGAAAACGTGCCTCTCGATCGCATTCATGTTCGGAGCTGCATCGAATCGATAGATGTAACGCATGCTCAAGTTTCCGCAGAACGTGTGCTCGATACAAGACAAGGTCGGGCACAACATACCGGTGGACGGGATCCGTATACCACTCCGGATAAGCCGTATTCGGACGATCGCCGTTTTAGATAAACGGTATCCGGATAAACTGGATCCCTCCGCATCTTAAATCGAGCCTGCACTTTGTACACGCTCAGTCGTGCCGCGTTTTTTTTTCTCCTCGGCTTTCTCTTATTACGATGGACATCTGCGGCAATGATCATCAGCCGAAGACAGGGCAAGAACATGCAGAAAGTCCGATCCTCTTTCACACGGGGGAACTTTCGTTCTGCGATGCATTGCAAACGGAACTGACGACAGAGCATTTTGTGGGTCAGTGGTACTTTTCGTTTTCTTGAAATATTTCCTTAATTAAGTGGAGGTGAAGAATAATCGAGAGGTACAGTGCAAAAGGGAGATACGCCTCCATATATTGAAAAATGAAATTTCAATTAATTCTGGCACCTCTTGGTGTATAGTTATTACCCCTTAATTTATAACTATGTGACAAAATTCCTGTCTGTATTACAATTTTATATGTACTTCCATAAAAAAAGCCTTAATATCTGACAACATTAATGTTGTAACAAAGCACCCTCTTGCATTGGACCCTTCAATTAGAAACGTTCGAAAGTGTCGACTTCTGTCATATGAGAAACTTCCATTAACTCTTATTAGACATGTGTCATTTTGTCCCTATATTTACACCACCACTTATCAATAGTACCTTATCCTCATCGCGTGTTATAGGTGTGTCCATTATTCTGAACCTATGAATTCTGTTGCTTCCAATATACTCAGCGTACATGCAATACTTTGGAATGCCAGCGATAAGTGAATAATCTAATCCGAATAAATACTCAGCTTTGGAATGAACGATTCACCGAAGATCAGAGAAGTACCAAACCTGGACGGTTATACCTGAATAAGATCAATGAAGGGGGAATTCGTACCATCCGAACGGTGTTAACGTCCAACGATCGGGAGCACGAAGATCGAAGTGTCTTAAAGTCTTCGAGGTCCTGGAAGCTGTGAAATCCCCGTCGCTACCCTTCTTTATAGAAGGCTGGTGATAGGGCTGAAGGGGAGTGGACCAATTTTGTGTAAAACCTTCTTTCTGTTTCCACTATATTGATTTCGATAAAAGGCAAGGCGTCGCGTCCCGTGTATCCCAGATCCGTGGAGAGGTGCAAAAATGGATTGGAGCAGAGAGGAGCGAATATTCAAGATCGTTCGTCCAGCATCGACCGAGGGTGAAGATCTCGGCGTTAAAACAGCTCCAAGTTTATTATTTCAGGCCGAAAGTTTTCTATTAATTTCTGAGAAGAGAAAAAGAGCGAAAGCACAGGGCTGGAGGAAGGAAATCAGAAACTTTGAAGTAGCTTCAATTACCGAATAAAAATGAAAATCTCATTATACCGGTTCTCCCCTCTCTCCGCAACGTTTAATATCAAAGTTAGCGCAACTTATTTCTTTTTTCTGTTGGTCCGAAGTAGCTCAGGCTATAAGACTGACGCAATTAGCGGGGAAGGGATTCTAAAGCGTTTAAAAAATATAAGAATAGACAAACAGGCGAAACTGTCGACGTTCTATGTTACTTTGTGGTTCCCCTTGAAGTTCATATACCATTTATCCTGACCGATCGACACGATTCCTGCGAGTTCGTTGCTCGAAAATGAATATTTGGCAATCTTGTAGCGATAGGAGCGTTACCGCGAGCCAACCCGTTTCGCTTCTGGAACGCGTTCAAAGAATAAATGAAAAATCCACCGGCATGTAACCGCCGCGAAAGAAAAAAAAAGGAAAAAGAATGCATATTCTTTTCGTTGCAAATGATCCGCATCCGGTGGAC